CACCCGGTCGCGGAGTGTCTTCACAGGAAGTGGCAGGAGCTGGCACAGCCAAGGGACGGAGCCATAATACAGTCATGTCTTGCCCAGGGCCAGGGGGCCATGCAGGGGAGGAGAGAGTGGGAGGAAATTCACAAGGCAGGAGTTTCTATAGAAATGCTGCCCAAGTACATGGGGTTGACACTGCCATCGCAGGCTGGCCAGAGCCTTGCCTTGTCAGTGGTGGCAATAATCTTCCCTCCAGGAAACAGACTGCTCCCTCTTTAGACTCTGTAGGTTAGGGTGGTTTTTTTCATTTAAATATGAAATTATTAACAAAAACATAAGCTTTTCCTATAGCATAAGTTCAGGGGAAACTGATCACATACTTCCAGATGTAGGGATCGGAGCTTTAGAAAAGACAGATTACCGAAAGAAGGGAGGGCCAGGTTGTTGCCTATCATTTAAAAAGTCATATCCCACGTGACACAGTTCAAATCCAGGCCTCAGTGGCTTGAGAAATATGCCAGGCATGTAAGTGCATGACCGAAACCCTGGTGAGATGGAGCGGTTAGGAAGGGACATGTGTGGCATGGCCACATACTCTAGGGTGATTTCCCCTTCCTATCAAGGGCATGTGCCCTCTCGCAATTAAAATAAAGGACGAAAATGGATCACAAACCACCTAGACTGTCTACCAAGGACAGAATTGTTTTTCCTTTTTTCTTTTTCTTTTTTTTAAGTTTGCTATAGGACATTCACACTGGTTCAAGAGCGACAGAGAGAGAGGAGAAGTGAAACCACTGCTGGGCAGTGGCCATGCCACAATCCTCTCTTCCATTCTCTTGGGATTTGGGGCATGCACACACGTGCCCTCAGGTATTTCTCAAGCCTCTAGGATCAGGACTCAGACTGTGAGTGCTTTCTCACTTCCCCAATCTCTCTCTGGTCACGTGGGATCCAGCTGCCAACCTCCGCACCACCAGCTGGTCCCAGGGACAGGCACTTCATACCCCGGCACAGAATTATCAAGTTGAGATCTGAAAGTTTTTCTTTGAACGTTGGCTTTAAAGTGAAGCTGCTACACAGCCAATGTGAAGAGGGAAGTAACTCACCCACCTACGAGACTTCCTTTAGCGACATGGAGCTCATTCTTGCCTGAGGAGATCCAGACGCCGCTGTTATTGACCCCCAGGAGGCTCGGCTGGCACTGAAGCTGCTGAGACCAAAATGCCATGCGCAGCTTATCTGCCACCTTTTCTACAGGCGCCTGAGCTGCTGTGGCCACAGAGTGCGTGGCATGGATTATGGTCTGGAATAGGCTGCACTGGTCAAACACCACGTAGTCCGTGACGCTCACCTGGCGGGAGCAAACAAGCAGAAATCGTCCATCAGGATGTTACAAGGGCCCAGTCTCCGTCACCGGGGGAGGAACGACCCATGCTCACACTTTGAGCTGTTGGTCACGAGATGACCCAACACACGTGCACGCGCATTGTTGGAGGACCAGGAGAGGTGCACCAGGACACCAGTCACTGCTGACTGTAACTGCTTCTGAGGGCTGGTTAGAAGGATGGAGGGAACTGTCCCATTTCATTTCGCACACGTTTATACTATACAGATCTGTTACAATGAGCATGTGTAACTATTATATTTTTAAAGACAGAACCTCTGCTGCAGTCCTCCCACCTCAGCCTCTGGTAGCTGAGAGCCTGGGCCTCCTGTGTAGTCTCAGCCTCCTGAGCGGCAGCGTCTCACTAGTCTGTGCCACCATGGCTGGGCTGCTGCGGGCGCTGTTTCTGCGATGAACCAACACTCTCTTAACAAGCCTTTTATTTATTTAAAACCTTTTTTTTCCCCAGTGGTTTTTGCCTCAGGGCATGTGCTGGAGCGAGCGAGCGAGAGAGAGAGAGAGAGAAAGAGACAGAGAAACATTGAGGGGGAAGGTAAGAAATCACCTCCCAGGGAGGATGGTCATATTGCAATCCCTTCTCCTCCATTCTCCTCCCAGGATCTTGGACACATGTGTACGCACACCCAGCGTGATTTTCAGGGGTCTGGGTCTCAAACCACGGTTGCCCATGTGGGAGTCCAGGGACGTAACTACTACTTCATCTGTTGGCCCTTAATTTATTCTATTAAAGCCAAACTCTTTCTTTCCTTAACATTTATTTATGGGGCAGGCAGATGGCATGCTAGTTAACATGCTGGACTCGACATGGCTGACAGCAGTTCAAGTCCCAGACCTGGTGGCTTGCTTTCTCACTTTCCTGATCTCTCTCTGGTAAAACTAAAAAATGATAATAATAAATAAGATTAAAAAATTCTAAAAAAAAAAAAAAAAAAAAAGACACATTTGTTTATTAGTTGCGACTTTTCAAGCTGCTGGGTCTGGGATTCGAACCACAGTTGGCCATGTCGGAATCTAGCGTCTTAATCACCAGGCCACCTGTTGGCTCCCAAAAACCTTTTATTCTAATCAGAGGGAGAAAGGGTAATTTTGCTTTTTTAGTTTAATTTTTTCTTTCTTTTCTTTCTTTTTTTTTTTTTTTAATTTTTGGTATAGGATGTGTGCACTAGCAGGGAGTAGGGGGGGAGAGAGGATGAGAAATCATTTCCAAGGGAATGGTCATACTGCAATCCCTTCTCCTCCATTCTCCTCTTGGGATTTTTGGGTACACATGCATATGTGCCTAGCATGATTCTCAAGCCACCATATCCAGGACTCGAACCCATGCTGGCTATCTAGAATCTAGCACTTTAACCATCATGTCACCTGTAGACCCATAATTTTGCTTTTAAATTCAGGTATTTCTGGGGCTGGCTTTGTGGCCTGGAGGTTAAGGCATCTGGATCCCACATAGCTAGCCATGTGGTTTGAATCATGGCCCCAGTGGCTTGTAAAACACCGGACATGTGTGCATGAGTGCCCCAAATCTCTACAGTATGGAGAAATAGAGGAGAAGGGATTCAGTGTGACCAAGCCCTATCGGGGGGTGTTTTCCCCTCTCCCTCTTCCTGTTTCTCTCTGTCTGGCAAGTGTATATGTTCTCTGGCAAATTAAAACAAAAAATCAGATATTTTGTGTGGACAACAGTACATATACCTAGAATCATAAAATGAACTTTAAAAAGTATTGTAAGTAGAGTAATAAAATAACTCAGATAGAAACTGGGGCAGCTAATAATTAGGCCAGGTCACAGCATAAACTAGGACTGTCTTGGGCATCTGGAAACCACCTACTCGCCCCTGGAACATTCTTGAAAAGCATCGTACAAACAGCTCCAGAGACTTTCCTCTGGGGCATTCACCCCCTGAGGAAACGCCTCCTTGCCTGGGCAGCTCTGATTATCGCGAAGTCTTCACAACATGGGTCCAAGTCTGATCCCGCACAGCTTCTGCTCACAGCTCCATGCTGCTGGGTTTGATGAACAGCCAGTGAAGGCCACGTTCCCAGGTCACGGATGATGAGGTGGGTAAAACATTTACTACAGGGAACTTAATTCATAATAAACACAACAAACAAAAAGGAGTGACGGTGAAAGTCAGTACTTCACTGCTTGCACCAATAATGCCCTTTCCTGTCTGTAAAGGGCCTCACTGCCTGTGCACCGCTGCCCTAACTAAAGTCTAGGGATGGGGCACCCTAGGCCCGAGCTCTGGGGACACACACAGGGCACCCTGGGCCCGAGCTGTGGGGACACGCGCAGAGCATGCTGGGCCCGAGCTGTGGGGACACATGCAGGGCACCCTGGGCCCGAGCTGTGGGGACACGCGCAGGGCACCCTGGGCCTGAGTTGTGGGGACACATGCTTGATGGCTGAGGGAGCTATGCACTTCCAAGGGGTGTGCTGTGTATAACCCACAGTGGGGACTCTACCAAGGCCACATGCACAGTGTGTGGCAGACCCAGGCCTGGCACCCCAGATGCACAGACACACAGGAAAGAGAAGAGAGGCCTAGCAGTCCAGCAACCAAGCGCACCCCTGGCTTCAGCACTGCAAGTGACCATCACCCAGTGCCTACCACACCTGCCTCCCAGTGTCCCTGAGACGGCTGTCACACTGGGATCCTCCAAAGATAATGTTCTAGTGATTACAATACACTGAGAGCTAACCGTCTCCATGCTACTTAGAAGCAATTTGGTGCACATATACTCTGTGTGTGAGTGTGTATACAGTACACAGAAGAACATGGAAGGTTTTTAAAACCTTTTGTGTCAGTAGATATTACTAGAGTATCCAACTAAGGGCACGCACATACAAGGTACAAGTTCTCTGAAGACCAAACATACCCTATTTCTCACATTCCATCCGAAAGGCCTGAGAGCTGCCAGTGTAAGCCTGGCCTCGACAAAGCAAGGCTGAGGTGGCTACAGCCCGGGAACCAGTGGAGGAGGGACACTGGGGAGCCTGCGGTTCCACGGCTGCTGACTGCTGCGGCCTGGTCCAGACTGGGAGCCAGCACAAGGTGCAGATGCTCCCTCAGAAAGCCCTGGGGCCGTTCTGCCTGGGAGTTATGTCACGTTGGCTTCATTGCACCCTCCTGTTCTTCCCTTTTCTGAGAAGATGTACGAAAGTCCTCCTTTCTCTGCTGAAATACCAATTACTTAGAGCCTTTCCACCATGCAGACATAGATGAATTTTAATTGTGGGTTGGGTTTTCAAGCCGATTGTCTAGTCTCTTTTTTTAGAGTATTTGTTCAGAATTAAACATTGTTATTACCTAGGTTTTCAAATGGATGTCACTGGGTTTATTCGCCCCGTAATGATAAACTTCTAAACCAAAGTAAATACATGAAGTCTGTATTATTCATGCAAAGAGGTCTTTGCAAGTCATTTCCTACAAGGTCAAGTCCTGCACGTTCCTAAGGAACTGAACCATGGCGAAGTCTAACCTGCAAACAGTGCAGTCAACGCTGTGGGTTTAATTCCACCTCTTTAAGGAAAAGAGAGGGGTTAAAGAAGGGGAGACACAGTCCCTGCTGGACACCTACCTGCCACCAGTGGTCATCGTCTCCATGGGGCTTCTTGGACACTACGCCGGTCCTGAACCACAGGTTCCCGTGGATGTCCAGGGCCCAGAGAGTGTGCTGATCCCCAAGAGTTATGCAGACAGGCTCCAGCGCTTGCCGTTCACTGAAATGAGGAAGACAGAGTGAGCACCCGCATGCAGAGCACCCCGCTCGTCCAGGATGGCTGCACAGAGCTCTCCTGGTGGGCGTGGCGTAAGAGCAGAAAGGAGCCCCACACACAGGGAGCAGATTGCTGAGTGCCAGTGAGAGACACCGAGTTAAATCACTGTGTGGTGTAAACTGTTCCAACTGGGGTCACTACTGATAGTCACACTGGAGACCCAGAAGGGCAGAGAAAGCTCTCAAGAGAAAACAACCTAAGGAAAAAGGGAGTCGGCACAAGGAATTCAAGGCCCATGAGTCCCTCCGTCTCCTTCCTCCCCTTTCTCCAGGGAACCAGAGAAACTCACCCTGTGTGCCAGCCTAAGGGTGCAGCTGTCCCTGGGCAGAAGTGCCCTCCCCACTGCATGAGCCCCTCCCCTCCTGCCTTCTGAGAAGGTCGTCGGTGTGGAGGTCCAGCTGCAGGGGCTCTGTGTGCTGTCTCCCCGACCTCTGCAGACAGTGGTGACAGCCCTGCCTGGCACCCTCCGTTCATGGGGCTCCCACTGGAGTGGGAGCTAAGGAGGGCCAGGCTGAGCCCCAGCTAGGTCGGCACACCCAGTTCCCAGCACAGCTCTGGCTAAAGACAGTGTTCCCCGAAGGTCTACAAGGCTGTGAAACTCAAGCCAAGAATGTCCTAATCCAGAGGCCAGCAGGTGGCCTGGTGGTTAAGGTGCTGGATTCCCACATGGCCAACTGCAGTTTGAGACCCAACCTGGTGTCTTCACAATCACAGGGCATGAGTGTGTACATGCCTAAAATCCTGATAGGAGACTAGAGGAAAAGGGACTGTGGTGTGGCCATCCTCCCTAGGGGGTGACTTCTCACTCTCTCTCTCTGTCTTTCCCTGGTGAACACATGTGCCCTATGGCAAAAACCTTAAAAAACAAAAATCCTAATCCAGTGTTTCTAAGGACTATTAATACATCCACATTAGCAACAAGATTCAATGGCAATTATATACTTAATATCTTGAATGGCTTAAAGTAAGCTAATATGGGACCAGTGGTTGGCGTAATGGCTATGTTGCTGGACTCCCATGTAGTTGACCGTGGTTCAAGTCCCGGACCCAGTGGCTTAAACTCACGCCGGGCATGTGTACGTGTGTGCTCAAGATCCCAAGAGAAGAATGGAGAAGGGACTGCGGTGTCCTGGGGGGTGATTTCTCGCTTTCTGTCTCTCTGTCTCTCTCTGTCTTTCTGATGAGCACACACGCTCTACAGCAAAAATCTCTCTCTCTCAAAAAAAAAGCAAGTTAATAAATTATAGTTCAGAGATCAATTTCAACAGACTAAGATGAAAATAAAGAAAAATATTCAGACCCAGACTACAATCTACGCAGAAGCCACCTACGGCAGAAGTTCTGATAAGACTGCACGAGACTCACAGCTGACGTGGGCTGCACAGGACGGCCTTTGTTTGGACAGCTCTGACCGGCATGCTCTGCTGGCCAGGGGCAGGCACGGGTGTCTCCAGATCAGGCTGTTGGACCAGCACTGACAGGCAGAGAGAAAGCACTCGCCCTGGACCTCGGCAATGCTTCGGCCTAGGACAGGCTGCCAGCATGCCTGAGGGCGAGTCCGGCTGCGCAGAAGCAACAAGTACCTGACGATGTCCCACTTCCACTGCTCGCCTTCTGGGCAGAAGCTGCTCACGCCCTCCCGGTATAGGAGAGCCCGCTGCTCCGTCAGCGCCCATACCACACTGTCGCGGGCTGTGATCTGGGACAGTGGACAAGGACAGTCGACTCTGACGGCTCTGGCACAGGGGCGGTCCACACTGAGACCTGCCGGGAGACGGGCAGAGGCCCCCAAAGACACACAATCAGGACTCGCACCTCACTGTGACCTGGCTTGCTTTTATTTCTCGCACTGGTATTTCACTACGCTTTTTCGCAATGAGCGCTTGTGCTTTCATGGTTTGGTCAACATTGGATGGTGAGATTCTGCTGAAACTTAACATATACTAAAGCAGTTGTAGACATGCTTTCAAAGTCGAGGGAGTGATAAGTCACAATTACCTGGTGCCCCGAAGTGGCTGGAAGAGTCTGGGAGGAGGAAGGTGAGCACCAAGGGGAGCCAGCCTGCGCGGGCGAGCAGGGCCAGCCTCTGCCTCACGGTGCACTCAGTCAGCACTGGACCCGCAGGCACCTGGGGGATCTGGGTCCCCACGCACCCGGGTCTTTCCCTCACTCCCTGTGGCCACCCCGAAGAGCTGGCAGAATAGCTGTTGCCTACAGCACGGTATCCGGGCCTAGGCCCATGCCCTCCAATATCGCAGTCTTTGGGCTGTACTCCTTTGCACAACACCGGGTGAGCATCACCACAGGACATCCTGCTCTATAGACCTTGGGTCAACCGCAGAAACTAATCTAGGTCTGAGCGGAGCCAGGCTCCTCTGAAACCACTGCCCTGGTGGTCCTTCTGCTACAGCTGGCTAAGAGGTCACCCACTCCTCACCCCCAGACCAAAAGCAACCCTCACCACACCATGCATGATACTCAACCGTGTTGGCAGACAGGTGTGCTGTGCCTCACGAGAGCCACCTCCACTTACGGGAAGACACAGTCAATGGCAAGGGAGCCCAGGTCCAGCCTTGGGCCTCGAGGCCGACAAGGTGCCAAGCACAGCTTGAGTTCCTACACACCTGGGAGAGCACCGATGGCCCAGGGCCTGCAGTCTGATAGACCTCCCCAACCACGGTTCATCGCAGGTAACAGATAACATGGCCTCTCAGAATCAGCAATATTAAACGGTTAGAGGACTGGTCTTTACATAGATCCAAAATGACCCTCTGACAACCAAAGAAGAACTACTGCCCGGTCCTTCCCAGACACTGACAGATCACACTCCTTTGGAAGAGGCTGACAGTACGGAAACCCTGACTTTCCTCCTCGTTTGTTTTTAATAAACAAGCTGCACCGTGCCTCTTCCCACAGCTAAAGGTTTCCCTAGGGCAGTTTCCTAGGAAAGGCTGAACTGCTATTTAGAGCAGATTATTTCTCGTCGTTTTTCCCAATCCATGAGTACGTACATAGGAGCTGGGCTTTCACCTGGCTGAAAAAAACCAGAAATCCGGCCACTTAGGTGTAAAGAAGACTATTCTAACGTCACTTCTCCTCCATCTTTCCTCTTAGGAACTGATAGGCGGGAGATGTGACAGTGATTAGCACGAGGAGAGTAAGACTGTTTCTGACCCCACTAAATTCTCTTCATTCTTGGCCTAACTTTGTCCCGCACTGAATTTGTGTCACACAGTAGCACCATTCCAAATGTGTTTAGTGTAAGTCTTAGCCCTTCCCTGTGACTGCTCCAAGCATGTCATAATAGAACAGGGTGCAGGAGGAGGCAGTGGCGCCTCCAGTTACCTGTCTGCAGGTACAGGTCGCCATTGGTCCTGATGACCCAGGCCGAGTCTTCGCTCAGGGCCACGAACGTGGCCTGGGGCAGGGCTTCGTACCAGTGCCGCTTCCCCTTGATGGTAACCTTCCCGCAAGCGAAAGCTCGGTTAGACTTCTGTTCAATCTTCCAGAGAAGGGCTCCTGTGAGAATTAAACTATATCAGAATTATCTACACAGACACTTCATCCCGGGCACTGTGAGGGACAAGTGCCAAAACAAACCCCACTGCCTCTACCCAAACCAAGAAAGAGCCCGCCAGCCAGTCTGAACCCTCGGCCACACCCACTGGCTTGTGGCTCCCTTTCCGTCTGAGATGGGGATCACCTCCACCTGGCGGGCTACTCTGCCTGGGGCAGGGCATGGCAGGCACTCAGCCCGGGGAGAAGTGTTGGTGCTGTGAGGTCTGCTGAGGTAAGGACCCAAACTAACACCATGTTGCACCATCAGTGCCTGCGGAGAGGTTGGGAAAACGAACAGCTTCTGGACCAGCAAATGGAAAAGGTGCATTTGAGCAGAGTGGGCCTGCTTTCGGTCAGCAATGAGTTCTGATGACAACAGAGCAAGGAGGAAGGGAGGGAGGGAGGGGAGTGAGGAGAGCACTGCAGGTGGAGGGTCTGGCACCCGCTGGTTTGGGCCGGGGAGAGGGACCACCGGGGCTGGCCACAGACACACCCTGGCACCACGTGGCACTGCTGCTCACTGGAGACATGGGCCCTGAAGGACACCTGGTTAATCTCATAGAGACGGCAAGTCCCTGCTAAGTCCCAGCTAGAGCAGCAAGGGACCAAACAGTTTGGAAATACAAAATAATCATTATCTTCAGTTTCCAAGTAGCTAGGGACAGGAAGAGAACTCAATTCAACTGTATGATGCCCGTTAGAGGATTGATCTTTACACAGATCCAAAATGCCCTCTAACCAAGTGAGTCATTATTTCAGCCAGTCTCTGAGGAAAAGTATTTTCAAACAAGCAGTGGAAGAACGCAAGCAAAAACCTGAACAAACTACTATTTTAAGTAGTGCCAGAGACCAGGGAGGATGAAGAGAAATGTAGCCTGAAGCACAGGGGCAGGACCTGACTTCGCCTGACCTCTACTCCAGTGTGCCAGCAGTGAACCTGGCTGCTTCGGGGCAAAAGCATGTACATGCTGCTCTCTGCCTCCCCCACCACCACCCTTGCTGGACAGGAGAAAGAAGTGGCCAAAATAGCAAAAACAAACGTGGGACCAGCAGTTAGTGTAATGGCTATGTAGCTGGACTCCCATGTAGTTGACAGCGGTTTGCGTCCCGGACCCGGTGGCTTAAAACTCACACCGGGTGTGTGTGCGTGCGTGCCCAAGATCCCAAGAGGAGAATGGAGGAGAAGGGATTGCAGCGTGACCATCCCCCCTGGGGGGTGATTTCTTGCTTTCTGTCTCTCTGTCTCTGTCTGTCTGGCGAGCGCACGCGCCCTATAGCAAAAACCTCTCCAAAAAACAAAAACAAAACAAAACAAAACAAACAAGGGGACGGTTCTGTTCATACGAGAGGTGTTTCACCCTCATAGCATCTCCTTCAGGAAATGCCTGTTCTAGTTCATTCGAAATGGCCTAATAATGGCATGAACGAATCAACAGAATAACTCATTCACCCAAAGCACCTAGCTACTTCCAAAGAATTCCTAAGAGAAAGTTAAATAATTGGAAAGCATCCAACATATTCATGGGCCTTTCTCCATCAGCTCGGTTGTTTTAAAGCAACACTAGAAACAGTACATTTTAATTTTTGTAAGAAGCTAGTTGGTACATTAACATCTCTTTTAAAAGCTCTCAAAATTCAAACTATTTGTATAGCTTACAAAAATATGTTCATGTGTTACCACTGCAATTAATAAAAAAATTAAATATTCAAGCAAAACACCCATTTATTATTCGTCAAGTGAAGGGAACCCTCAAACCTCCAGGAAAAAGTAAGTGTGTAGGACGCACAGCCCCAAGCTGCTGCCAGGCAGGTCTGCTAAGATGTCTGCAGTAGCGAGCTGGGAGCTGGTGCGGTGAAGGGAGCGGGCGGCGAACCTGAAGGGGACACCGCCACCTGCTGGACAGCATCTTCAAACTTCTGCCAGCGCAGCCCAGCGCCTGGCAACGCGCTGCAGAACAGGCCGCCTTTGTAGTCCAGGCACCAGACATATTTCTCGGAGACCACCAAGCTGAGGATGCCATAGCCGGGGCCCGAGTAGCCCATCCAGCTCTCTGCAAACTAACGAGGACAAAGCCCAGTAAGTGCTGTGGCAGAGGACACTGCTGCGTTCACCCTATGGCTACCAATGGGAAAAGTGAGCTGAGCACCATGCAAGTAACTCCGCTGAGAGGACCCCTGAGAAGTGGGGCTGAGCCCTGGCCTGCAGTCTCTGCACCCCCCACCGACGGAGCAGTCTGAAATGGGAGCTGTCATCGCCGTAGAGACCCCATGAGATGCCTGGACTTCCTGGGCACGTCACACTCTTCCCCAGTGCAGCGCTCAGGGCACGGCTTGCAGGAGTGTAGGTCGCGTGTCCCTCCCCAGTCAGACCGCCCTCCACCAGTGGCGAGCTCCGATAGTGCATGTGAATCGGCCTTCATTCTTGTCCCCTACAGCTGCACTGGGGCATGCAGCACTGCCATGCTGTCCTGTTTGAACCACAGGACAAGGCACACTAGGACAAGCTGGGGACACCCTGGCTGAGACATTTGGTCTGAATTTTGTGGATGAAGATTTTGTTGCCAGGATCCCTTTAAAAATGATAGCTAAATAAAGCCTTTGTACTTCAACAATTTCCTGAAACAGTAAAGAAAATCATCATCTTTGTACAAACACACCCACATGTGAACGTCAGCCACTGAAGAGCATGGCGCCCGACCCTTCTCAGACTGACCTGCTCACCATGGCAAACCCTACCTCTCTCTTCCCCTGAACACTCAGAGAGATTTCTAGGCTCTCCAGCTATCTGGGAAGGGGCCAGGAGGGGAATGCTGGGAGGGGACGAGATTCCTCCCTCCTAAGTAAGGGCTTTCCTCATTTCTGGATAGAATCCCAAAGCCTTACCCCCAGACTCGGGCTGCCTCGCAACCACGGGCACCAGGTGACCACCCACGTGGCTTCCCAGGGCCCCACGCCTTGCCCAGCCCACTCAGCTGTGGGGGCCTGAAGAGACATCTGACTCCCACTGAGACTCTGGGGCCCACAAAGGCGGCGTCCACAGGTGGTTGCCTGCCATTTGTACTCTGGCATTCCCAGCACAGACCAGGGCCTGGCAGCCAAGGACACTCAAGGACCCAGGGATGAAAAAGTGAACACAGGAGACAGAACAACAGGCCCAGAGCTCCTGGGACTTTGTATTCAAACAGGCAAGCAGTACGTTTCACCCTGAAGCCCAAGAGCAGAAGCTGGGGAGAGAAGGCCCTGGGGCTCGCACTGCCGCCACCTGCTGTGTGACCTTGTGCGACTTAACCGTTATGCCTTGGTTTCCTTCTGGACAGTGGGGACGACAGTTTACCTCGTTTTCAGCAAAGTATGAGGAGTTAAGCTTGTACAGGGTAAATCATGGCACCTGCACCCCGAGCTGTACTCTGAGTACGCAGAGAGCCCAGTGTCCCCAGGGGAGCATGCCCGGCCAGGAGTGACGGCTGGGATCCACACCTGGTATCTGCACGGAGGAGGAAACGTGAATGTGGCCGGCTCTGAAGCCAAACATGCCTGACTACTTGCTCAGGAAAGGCAGCGCTGTCTGGAGACAGCTCTTTGACATAAAATGCACAGGAACAGTCGCTGTCCCCTCACAGCACGGGCTCGCTGGACCCACAGGAGCCTAGATGCCCCAGACCTGGCTCCCGCACAGCCTAGGGGGCTTCGGGACCACTGTTTAGAGGCTGAGCAGTCGGCAGTTCTGGAAACGGCTCTGGTTCCAGCTGCGGGCCCCCCACAGGTGTCCCTGCCCCAACGCTCAGAGGTCTCTGCAGCCTGTGGGCATCTCCCACCCCTCATTCCTTTGAAGGCCCCCGGTCAACTGATGCTAAGTGCCTGCGCTGGCCTGAGTCAGCAGCAAGATACTGCTTTTGTTGGTAAAGTGGCTGACTGAGCAGGACGTCAATGATTTTCCCCCAGAGAGAAAGAAGCCTTAAATCTGGTTCCACTGCCCAAGTCCACATACCTGGTCTGACTTGAGAAGTCCGGTGTCACCTGCCCCTGGCTGGCTCTGGTCCTGGGGGGAGCGGCTAGCTCTGAGCTCGGTCACACTCGTCTCTGAGGATGACGATGGGAGCCCATGGGCATAGATGTCCTCCTCGTCACTGGACGTCAGCACCGGGTCCCCAGAAGGCTGCTCAGGCCAAGGCCTGTGGGCGCTGGCTGCCAAGGCAGAGACCAGATCTAGCTGTCTCCTCTCACTCCCCAAGTCACATTCGGAAGTGAACGCTTCTTTGTGACCTGCGTCATCGTCACTGACAGCATGCCAGGAATCCGAGCCAGGAGCCTCCATGCCGGTGAGGGCGCCTTGCTCTTTGCGGGGCTCCTCAGCACTGCCTCCACCCTCTGTGGCCCCAGGCAGC